CGGCGCGGGCCGCGGCCGGGGGAAGGGCAGCCCGGGCGGCGGGCGCGGCGACACGAGAAAGCACTCCGTGTGCAGCAGATACACTGCAGCGCCGCGAACTTTTTCATCGTCGCCGTGTTTCTTTTCCCTCGAGGCGAGGGGAGGGGGGGCGGAAACGGGCAAGCGGGAGAGACGGTTTTCTAATTATTTGACACACCGCGTGTATTATTTTTTTCTAACGAAGAGAGTGATGACCGTCGGACGGAATGGCGATCCAAGTTCAGCCACGCGTCGTCGCAGCCGGCAGTAGTAGGGAAGGAGGAGGAAACTGGAGTAAGCATGAGCCGAGGGGGGGGGGGCGTGGCCAAAACAACTTGGCTCGCCGGGGAGAGACGAGACGAGACCTGGCCGTATGGATATCGGCTCCAGCGGGCCCGGCCGGGCGGCTGGCTGAGCTGGCGCTGGCTCGCTGTGTCGCGTCGAATCGCGTTTCCTGGTCGGCATTGTAATGTAATGTCACGGCTCGGGCCGGGCCGGGCTGCGGGGCGCCCTGCTGAGGCTGTCTGTGCGTGGCTCTGTCGGGGACCCCGCCCTGTGGTGAACCTGGGCGTCGTCGCAGCCACAGAGGTTTACCGGCATTTTTCTTATTTTGCCTGTCGGCTGCCGCTTATGGGAAAGAGAATGCGATTTCCGTACGCGAGCAGCTCGGGCCATCGACCACATTATCGCCTAACGTCAGGTCAAACACTCGAAAAAATTCAACAATTCAACAGAAAAGAGCTCGTTGATGGGAAGGGAGACGGTTTTATGTTTTAAGTGTGCACAAAGAAGAGAGAGAGAGAACATGAGGTGACCGCGGCGCTGTACCAGGACGGCGCACGTGAGTCATCAGCCGCGGGTCACGCAGTGGACGTCGCCCCCCATCCGGCGGCCACTGAGCCTCTAAGTGCCGATGCCTATTATTCCGCATTACGATTCGGTTCTGCTGCAGTGCGGCGGGTAAACAAGCTCTGCGGTGCGCCGCGGCCGACCTGAGGTCACGGGCGGGG